TGTATGATAAATTATTGAGACTGGATTGGTCACGTGTTGGTGATGTTTCTGACATGGATGAGTCCTCGAATTGTTTTTATGATACTCTTAATAACTTATTTCAATTATGCGTGTCCCTTAAAGTTAAAAGTCGCCGACGATTCTCGGTCTGGTGGAAAGAGAAATTTTTCGTGATTACAAATATAAGTGCAGCTTTTTGTTGCTATATCAAAACTCAAACAGTGAAAGCATATAGGGAGTACTTAAGCAATATGGAATGGCATATACGAGATGATCCCTCAAAATCTCTCGAAGAGAAACAGCACCAGAATCCCAGGCTTGACATTTTTTTGGCGGTGAATCTTTTAATGAATCCCAAGCCATAGTAGATACCTTTGGTCTATATTCCCTCTGATAAGAATTATACTATTGTTGGAGTTACCGAAAGGCAGGCTATTAACGCCAGCAAAAAAACTGAAAGACAAACAGCCGGTATTGACGGCATCCCTAGCTTCTTTGTTGAGGACTGTATCAGTGTCCTTGCTCGTCTATTTACTCGCATATTCAATAGCATTATCAAATCGTGTACGCTTCCTGACTTGTGGAAGATTGCCAAAGTTATTCTTGTTTTTAAAAAAGATGGGGCGAGTGTTTTGTTTCAAATATCAATCTGACAACGCTGACTCAATATTTATGTGAATCAATTGATGATTGAAATCAGACGGATGTAGTACATATGGATTCTCAAATAGGATTTGATCAAATAAATCAAGACTTGATAAAATAGCAGGGGTTTACCTCTCTAGTATTTTATCTCACGTCAGGGGTCAAGGTTTAAATTTAGGACCTCTTCTTTTTATCATCTATATTGATAGTCCAAATGCTTGTTGATTCAGGATAACATTAATGTTATAAATAATGGAGTCTGGTTAATCGATTCGGTTTATTTAAATTTTAAATTTATTTAATTACGTAATAAATGGAACTGTATTGAATCGACTTAGTGAAGTTAAAGACTTGGCGATTGTTTACTTTTATACCTCATATTGAGCAATTAGTATTATCGGCGTCAAGAGTGTTGGGTTTTGTAATAAGAAGTTGCCGACCCTTCAACAATATCTCAATTATTACAATTCTCTATTATTCTTACATGAGATCTAGATTAGAATATGGGTTATGGGTGTGGCGTCCAATATATCAATGGCATATTGATAGCTTGGAGTTGATCCAGAGACGCTTCCTTAAATATTCAGTTTTTAAGGAAGATAATATATATCCCCATAGAGGGTTTGACCATTAGACAGGTTCGGGGAATCATCTCTGGAGGTTAGGAGGGGCATTAATTCTTTAAAATTTCTGCATGAGCTTTTGTATAGTACCGTGAAAGTAAAATTTTACGTCCCCAGATTTGAAGCCAAATTTGTTTATGTGTGGTAATTTCAATATTGTTTCAGACATATGTGATATAAATGCGGTTAGACTTTGTGAAATTGTTGACTATTTTTTGGTTCATGCGCAGAGCTTATAACTGCTTAGAGTAGGTGTGTGAGTAAATTATTTTTCTCTTAATTAAATATTTTCTGTAATTGATTGTAAACCTGTTGAAAATAAATTTGCTTATTATTATTATTATTAGTAGTAGTAGTAGTAGTATTATCATGGACGTCATCGCTTCGGTTATCCTCTGGCGGTCATGTTAACAGCTAATTGTGACATCCAGTGCACCAAGACATCAGGGTAGCGCGGGAGTGGGGGTGAGCGAAACTTTTGGCTCGCGTTTCTCGCTTTCATTTGCAGTTCATTATTCGTAACGAGTCGGGACAATTTAAATTATTGCACTTAAAAAGTTTTCTTCTTCTTGGGGAGTCGGTGGTGGCGGGGGAACGTTTGTCGTGTTGTGTTTCGACGAAAACTTCGCCCGAAAGTGTGCTTATGAATATTTCATGCGTCCCGCGACGGAGGTGCCGTATTCCGGGACGTTTTATGGAATTTATGCGCGGGTTTTGAGTCGGGACGGGCAAAGTAAATATTGCCCGTTTATTGTTATTAAAATTTTAAACTGCGCGCCACTCGCTACATCGTTGGCGGTCGGGCCATCGCACGAACGACATGTGGTGGAAATCGTCCTCCCAGATTTTATTCTTTACATTATCTTATTTTGTTTTTTAAATTTGCATTTGCTAGTCTTCAAAAACATTAGCATTCATGATTCAGGATAGTCTCCAGTGTATGAGTAATTCAGTACATTACTAGACACCTAAAAGATAAAATAGTAAAGGAATAGGGAAAAATGTCTGATTGCAAATACACAGAAATAAATTATAGTTTAATTTTTACTATTTTATTACGAAATTAGCAAGACGTATTGGTCAGCGTGAATTCAAATTTGTTAAAACGGTGATAAAAGTATTGCCAATGGAAAACTCCACGATACATCTCCATCTAGTTTCTTTACCGTTGTACGCATAAAATTTCCCTTCAGCAGAAGTTCAATAGAACTCCCACAATATAATTTATACAAAATAGTACTTACATCCCAAAAGCCTATACTGCTGTTGCACAACTTAACACAGTAAAAAACGTAAGAAACAACATTTTGGATTGAAATTAAAAATATCCGACTTCCTTGGACGAAGTGTAGGATTTAGGATCATGATATGTAGAGAAAAGCTGTGTTGAGCGCGCTCAACCCCGAGTAAGCCACTTACTTATGTTTCTCACGTAGAGATGGCGCTAAGAGTTTGAATAAATTTATTTTGTAAATCGCAATATAGCCCCCAACCCCCTGGGTTCAAATATTCAGAGGGCCAATATTTCCAAAATGATTAGTGAATCTTTGGGCACTTTTGCCAAAAACTCAACCCGTTTTTACGTATGTTAAATGCATCTTTTTCTAAGTTAATGAATTCACCTATAAAAAAGTGTGATAATGTCAAACATGTAAAATGTAAAGGATAATACATTGGACATAGACCTGTAGAATTAAATATCGCTTCGATTTGTTATAACAGAGACTATTATACATCGGGCAAGTGAGAAGGTGGTAAATTGTTTCGAAGTGTTACATAGGGAGCAAATAAAATCCGGTTTAATTGAGTAGGTGCCTTCTGTATAGAAGAAAATCACAACAAAGATGTGAGTTAGTTGAGCTATAATTCTTAAAATGGATTAGAGGGTGCAAACCTTGAGTAAAATTTCGTTCAGTGTGAGCCGACTGCAATGTTGAGATCTGTTTGAAAATGTTTTGTTTTAATATAATTTAAGATGTCTAGATTGTTCCACCACTCACCATACCCAATTCACGAAACACCTCTCTAATCTGACATGGCCCAGTTGAATTTGGTGTGCCTTGTGTTAATTATGAGAGATAGCTGGTGATCAGAATGACGTGGTCTACAGTAGGCAATTTGATCTTTCTCAATTAAAAGTGACTTTAGATTTTTCGTAAGGAAAATTCATTTTTTCATTTCAGATATTCTTTTGTCTAAGGGAGGTATTTCTGTTTTCAAAGAATGTCTTATGCCGCGGTTTTAAACACTGCATAAATTCCGCCTTTAATAAATTTTACATTTGTAATAACTTCAAAATGTTCTCTTATCTAGAACTTTTTGCTTCTTCTTCTTCTTCTTCTTGTTTCTGTGAATCTTCTTGTTTCTATGAATCCCTTATTCAAGGTCATGTTACTTTTGTAATGAATTCTGTGGTACGATTCGTTTGATTCAGTGTTTGCGATGCCATAGCTATCAAACTCTTGACTGGAACCTTCGACACTGTACTAACACACAATAACGCGTTTTACCACAAACCGAAACTCAATTTTACGTATTCGACGCGCGTTTCGCCAACCAAGTTGGCATCTTCAGGAGAAGATTAAAACTAAGTTGAGTTTCGGTTTGTGGTAAAACGCGTTATTGTTCTTGAATTATGTGGATTTAATAACACACACTGAAGCGTTTTATTTGAAGAAGGATATATTAAATATTGGAATTTATAAGAAAACTAACAAAATTTATCCAACACTTGGTCCGCCATTCCACCGCGTGCTTGTTCTCTAGTCACGTAGGCCAAAAACAGAAGTTATTTCAAAAACAATACATGTAATGCCATCTATGTGACAATAACTGCGTTCTGCACTAATACATTCAACAATTGTGTGATGCCATAGCTACAAATGTTTCTTTTTTATTTTCTGTAATAACGAGGCGAAAATGTAAGCTTCGAATGTGTGTGCGTATCGGAATGTATCTGCAAGTTGATTTATTTTATTTTTTGCAGCTTCTATTTTATGCTTCATCTCGTTTTTCTGTACATGTTTTTGTTCTTTTCCACGATTAATTTGTTTCAGTTGACCTATTAGCAGAAAACTATCTTTTAATTTTTCCTCAATAATACCCAAGAAACGACTTGTACGGCTAATGTTTCTGTCAATATATTATTTTTTGTGGCTTCTGTTTTATTTTAATTGTTCGGTTGGCAAATAACTATAAAATGCAAAAAACGTGAACGTGCTATCAAATAACCATATAAAATGCTGATTTAATTGGTTTTTGTTTCCGTTCAATAATTTCCATTCTAGAAAAGTATTGCAATGCGCATTGCACAGAATTTACACTCCCGGAATAAAACTTTTTCAAAGTTACTTCGCCTAACCCGACCTCGACTTTCGTGGACCCCCGTACATTCCCGCGGTGGAGAAGCGAACGCTAATGAAACTGCAGTTTTATTCAATTCCACGCGGAAGGAAAAATGCTAAAAAGTCAAATCCCGAGGATTGTCTAAATCAGACAATCGTTAAGAAGAGGAGTAAAGTTTTCGATTATACTAAAAAAGTCGAGCAGGATTGTTTTTCGACAATCGGAGCAGGGGCGCGTAATGAAAAACCCGAGAAGGTCCTTTAATTAAAGAAAACGCCGAACGGCGAAAAATTTAATACCCATGTTAATGAGCGAGATTTTTTTTCAAAACACCACCCTCCTCTCGTTGTCTTCTCCGACTGATACATACTTCGTCTTGCGTTTCAGCCGGGGAGACCATGTACCAGTGCAACAAGATCGACTACTTCTCCAAGGAGCAATATAGTCCGGATCCCAGCGACTCGACTTTGGCCATACCATGTAAGTAGACAGCATAGAGATTTAACTCAACCCCCGTTGACATTATCGATCGAAATGATCGTTTTTTACAAACAAACCATCGTAAAACCAAAGTTGGGTTTTAGGAAATCATTTCAAGGGAAACAAAATTTTAAACAAACAAATTTTAAAAAAACGCATCCTGGGTCACTTAAAATTCTTTTAACAGCAAAGACACATTATTCACTGACGCCATAAGGCATTTCGCCGTCTGAGAGACCTACTGGCATGCGGCACCTATTGGTATGGTGTGTTCATAGATATAAGAAAGTGACCAATTGCTTTTGAATGGGATTGTCCAAGGGTGGTCAATGCAACAAGATTATTACCTGAAGTTTCGGAATTTAAATTCAGGTAAAATTGTGGTCCGTAATAGAAAATAATTTTATACCTACCTGTGTTTAATATTCTTTGGTTTGGTATACTACTTAGCTTAAGTTTATTAGTATTCTTATTTCGTGTGTAATTCAGCGTGTGTTGAATCGTTATGCAAAATATGTGCGAGTCTAGTGTATCTCAGGAGATGCTCACGCACAAATGTAGAAAACACTATTCTATTAAGACTAAGGAAGTTATAAACAATGTTTATTTGACTCTCAATGAACATGGTGCCAGCAATCAAGCATCTTTAGAAGAAACGGCCACATTGACGAAAATTCCAACATCAACTGTATGGAAAATTGTGAATAATCCCATTTCAGCGGGGAAAAAAAGAAGCGAGGCAAGTTTTAATGGAATCTTTTGGAATTCAAAAATGGCGACTGAAATATCTAGAAAAAAATAGGATTTACAGAGAACAACAAAGGCCAATTATTTACTTGGATGAAACCTGGTTCGACACTTATGATACCCCGGAAAAGGGTTGGGTTGACTCAACTGATAAGTGTAAAACAAACGCGCCATCAAAAAGGGGTAAAAGAATAACTATTTTGCATGCTGGCTCTAAAGACGGTTGGATTCCAAATGGACTTTCTCTATTTGCGAAAAATATTAAAGATTCTTCTCTGGATTGCCATGAAGACACCACCGCTGATTTATTTGAAAGTTGTTTTAAAAACAAACTAGTTCCAAACATTCCTCCTAATGTGACACAAAAGCAACAATCCAAAACTACATGTATAATAACGACATTCATTTTCACGAAGATTATACCAAAAAGCAATTAATTGAATTTCTACACAGCTTGAACCTACAAAAGGAATACGTCTGTGATAATTATGCAAAAAATTTAGGGCATACAGTTTTAAGGCTCCCATTGAACACCAACTGAAATCTGCCATTCGTCGTAACAATGTCTTTCCCCGTGTTAACTCCAATGTCTTCAAACTTATAGAAACCGAAGTTTTTAATATCCCTCCACAAAGTTGGCCAAATTCTGTTAAACATATAGCAAAAGCAGAAGAATCGTAAATCCATATTGCAAATAATATAGAACAAATAATAATTAGAACAGGCGATGATGGCGATAGTGATACTGATATATTATGTGAATGGTTTTAAGTAATTTAAGTAAATAATAAAAATGATTTGTAATTTTATTTTAGATTTAAACATAAATACATACATAAATATATATTGTTTATTATCTTTCCCAACAAAACCCCAAATAATTAAATTCTAAGCAAAGTACGGACCTGTATCAGTTAGTCACTCTCTTATATCTATGAACAGACTTTACCTACGTTTAGAATGCAATTTTAAAATTAGGTGCCTATAGGGTGATTGAATACCAGGCTCTTAATTAATTCCAGATACGGTGACCAAATCCGCAGCGTTCCTATTGGCCGGTGGTTTCGTCCTGTTACCGGCGTATCTATTCGCCATTTTGGGACAGTGCATCCGAAATAGACGAACGTACACTTTCCTATCGGGAATTCTGTTCATCCTCACTGGTATGGAGTCGAAACGTCCAATTATACAAAACAAATTATACATCTATATTGAAATCAGACTTTAAGTATAGACAGGAACATAAACATTTTTGACATTGTTCTGGACTTATTTTTTTCGCGCTTGGACATTTTTTTGCAGATTTACGTGGTCTCCACATATTTGTATCCAGCTATTGAATTGCAGGGTTGTTCATGCTACTGGGACTGGTCATGTACATTTCCGTATTCAAGGCCGAGACGGGTAGTAAGCTCCGGCCCCAGTCCCAAATAAGACCACCCCTATACGAGTACCACTATGGGTACTCTTTCCTCATGTACTTGATCGGCCTGATAGCGACCCAAATATCGGGCGTCGGCTGTGTTTTTTTATTTATATACAGGTAAGTCGTCGGATCAGTGAGTTGCTAAGTTAGGGCGCTTAAAGATGGATAACTACTTACTTACGTCAACATTCAAGAAACCAATTAATTCCACAAACAGAGGCGTACGTCTAAATATAAACGCGACTCCTCTATTAATATTTCATTGCTTTCAAATTTTTGTTCGTCATAATTGGTTTTACCAAAACTAACAAAAACTACTAATCCAGTCAAAATAAAAATACAAAGTTGAGATTTTTTCCATTTTTATCGAAAACGGTAAGTTTTATCGTGAAAATAGATCAGACAAAAATTGTAGATCTTACAATTCTATACAAATCATACAGTTCTCTACAAAAATTGTTTTTCTTCCAACTCACAATTCGTGAGATATCGTGGTTATTACTATTAGAAAATTCATATTTTACATAATATGTACACATTTCTGCAGCATTTTTACATGCAATTACTGGTTGCGATACTTCAACAGCATTTTTGAAAACAGGTAAAGCAGCAGTATTTAAAATGTTCTAAAAATGTAAAGATTGACTGTTCTTCACTCGACATCGTTACAAATGGAATTTGTTTTGTTCTTGCAATGTATGGTGCTCCAAAAAAAATTGATTGCATAGATAAATATAGATATTTGACGTTTGTACAATCTGCATGGAACAGTACAGTTGTGTTGTCTACCTGCAACATCTGCTTCTGCCTGTCAGCATTTGTGTCGTGTGTATTATCAAGTTCAATTGTGACTAGGCAATGAGCTGAACCTAGAAGAATGGGGTCTACTCCAGCCTGCTGCAGAAAAACTGCTCAATACTATTTTCTGTATCTGCAAGACGAGTTGTAGTAAGAGTTGTGGCTATCAAAAAGTGGGGTTATTTTGCTCCAAAATTAAATGAAGTACAACAGAAGAATTTATTTATGATTCTAATGAAGAGACCATTGATGCATCTTAGAGCAACGAGCAGTGATTCTGCAACAAGAAAACAACCTATTCCACTGGGGAAACCAAGTTAAAAAAAATGCTCCAAGTACCTCCTAGGTGCTGCGAAAATGTGTGCATATTATGTAAATACGAAACCGCGATATCTAACGAATGGTGAGTGATGATCTATAACTTTTTTTCACGATTTTCAAGATGAAAATTGCCGTTTTCGAGAAAAATGGAAAGAACCTAAATTTTGTGCGCTTGACCTGGAATAAAATTTTTTGCACAAGTCGAATCGATGGGGACTTTTGACATTTCATGTATAATGGTATATTTAACGTCCCTGCCAATTTCCAAATAAATTTCCGAAAAAAACCAAATGTGAGCGTAGTGATTATTTCTCTTTTTGTCATTTGGAAATTTAATGCCGATGTTTTCCATTTGCGGAAAACAATGGCAGCTCCAATAACCCCACTCGCAAAAAGTCAGTAGCGATGTATCTGCAGCGGGGAAACGATAAGTGGCGTCAGCTGCCGCTGAAAATCGCAGATTTAGATGCGTTGTGTGCACATTTTTACGGCTTTTGATATGGAGACGAATATCACTCGTTAAAATATACGTTAGCTGCCTAGCTTTAGCTCTTTCCGATAACAGCGACGAATTAGCTTAAATTTTGACATATTTATTTTTTAAGGTTACAATACGAGTGGAAAAGGAAGCAACTAGAAGAGGTCAAGAGAGGCAAAAGACTGCCGTCAGTGCTCAACATCAACCAATTGGACCGCACAGTCTATTATCCTTGCAGAAGGCACCCTTACGCTTACGTAAATTCAAATAGCGTTATACACTATCCGCCTACGAGTCCCGCGCAAAAGCGGTGAGTAGCTTCCATGTAGTCGCCCGTGTCCCTTAATCCATCGTTTTCAGGTATTACTTTAGCAAAGAACCGACACAGGAATCGCCGTGCTCTGTGCATCGAATGCGGTCTCAATCAAACTCGCTCAAGGATGTTTCGACTTTCTACGATTTTCCACCTCCACCCACAATATCCTACCAGTTCGATGAGCATTTCGGAACCCGCGAACATACCCTTCCCCGTGACGTCACCCTCAACACGGTTAACACGGTGTCCACTACTGCTGACGTCAATTGCGACGAGCTCAACGAGCCTTACTTTGACGACTACTCGCCCAGCATACAACACGAATTCGTTACGTTCGATCTGGACCAGCCTTTACCCATCAGGGCTCAAAGTGTAGTTAGTATAAGTTCGCGGAACGGAACCAGAAAAAATTACGAGAGTGATTCGTTGCGGAGGACTACCCCGGTCTAGATGGTTTTTAGGTTAGGTTGAGTCGGAGACGATGTTCAAAGAATAGTGACGCGGTTATCTAAAATACTAAGACGTTTTTGGATACCTATCGCACGGTTGATTCTCCGACGTATCAAGAAGTCCGCGACATGAGTACTTTTTTATATTATCTACACCACCAAATCCGTAAATGTATAATAAAAGTATAAGCGTTAAGGGATCCTGTCACCATGTGCCACAAATAGATTACTCATTGTAAATTACCAGTTTTCAAAATACTTGCGATTTTTGCTGTGCAAGAATGACACCAACATATCCAACAAATAATATAACGGATTAGGGGAATTTTCAACAGGTGGCGTCACCTACCGGCAAGTGACTAAACACTCGGTTTACATTCTCCAAACCCAGAGAACCCACTCAAATTGTAGCACGCCAGCTGTTGCTATATTGGCCTTACCATAAAATTTATGCAATCTGTTTTCATGAGAAGAAACAGTTGCGCCTGTTTCGGTTTTTGTTTCGTAACCCACGGTAGTCGAGTATTCGTTGTTTAAACCTTATAATATGCTATGGTCCTTTAATTGTTGATACTGGGATATATATTAAGTGTAATTATACCTGTACAAATTGCAGAGCCATACGAAAAATGTTTTATTTGTAACATGTTATTATAATGAATTAATAAACGAATAAAAACTACATATTACTTTTGGATTCACTTCGCGCCACCTCTTGGACAAGTGTCAAAAGTAAGTCGTTTCGCTAAGCCTGAATTACAGATATCTACGGGCATGCCACAAAGGTCGTGAGGAGTGAGCGGGGTTGTATTTAAATTTTAAAATCGCTTCACAGAGGGCGCGATCGACATTGATAGTTTTACATATACTTTTAATATTGCTGGCCAATTAGCTAAACCTTTGATAAGAATGTATTTTGCAATAAATATTTACAGAGTCGATATTCACAGTTACATAGAGTAAACATGGTGAAACTTACACCTCACCTCACGAAAGCCTTGCAATTCTTTGATGCGCCATCTATGAATCCAATAGCGAAGATTTTGCTAACCTTGTATGTCTATTCGATGGTTGCTTGGTATTAAAATTTACTTTAAAATTTCTATTTCATCACATAGGTAGAGCGAAAATCGCATTTCGGGTTGTTACAGAAAGCTTTTCCACGATGTTGGTAAGTTTGTAAAAACGAAGCGGCGCCAGGCATCTGTAGTGTAGTGCTGCAAAAACCCGCTTGGATGTGTTGGTGTATGTTTTTTAAATCTATTTCTACAGTCAGGTGCTGGTAATCTCAGACCACTTCCAACGTAACAAATAATTTTTCACCAACAATATAGTTCTGGCAGAAAATCGTTTGGTAGTTCAAAAGTTTTTTTGGGTATGAGTTTTCAAAGCTTTTTTTTCAGGGTGAATGTCATCGACATGAAAACTTTTTAATGATCATGCTGATTGGTGATTTCGTTACTAAAAGCGCGACGGTAAGTAAAACGACTTATTAATAGTTCAGATAAATTTACTGGCATAGAAATCACTAACACTACAAACATTTGTACATTTAGTTTGCTTAAACAGCACTACCGAACATTATTTACACAATTAAGTAGACGCAAAGTACCTTTAAAATTAATCCCACACATAACAAAGTGAGATCAGTCTTTCCATGATAAAACCAACAAAAAAATAAAACAATATATTCCTAAACGAAGTCATATAATACTTAAGTACTGGCTTGTATTACCGATCGTGCAGGGGCACCGCAGTGCCGCCATGTTGAGCCTCTGACTAGTACAAAAAATAATGTATATACACGAAAATAATGTACAACAACAATAGAAATTCACAGGTAGCTTCTAGGTCACTCTACAAATTCATACGTAGCTCCTATGACTACTGTCACTCTCTTCGACACTCAGTGTTTTTATGACCACGTATTGTTATACCATCGTCACATTCCTGCGTTTCTTTTCTCCACTGTTGACAGACGTCATGGAACCCTGCAAGCTCGCATTAAAAGGCACCTGTTCGGTCCTTTGAACGCTCTGATAGATCTGATTCTGCTGAGGCGGAGCTTGATGTACGCCGTAGATATTAAAATTGACGGGGTACCCGTTATTGAAAGCCGGCAGTGGCGGTACCGGTGGGGGTAGATGGTTCGGACCGTAATGCTCAGCGATCTGATGACCGTTTATGCTCACGTGATCCATACTCTGACCGTTCATCGACATATGTTCCATCTGAGCTCCGGCCATCACAACTTCCGGGTGCATCAGCATTGGTTCCTCGCTCATCATGTTATCCATCGGGCTGTACCTCCTCTCATGCTCGTGTAACAACTGCGACGCGCTCCAAGAGTTGTAGGGGCTCAAAGGCTGACCATTCCGGTTGATGGTGTTGTTGGAGATGACGCTCAGCCCCGCGTAACTTGGTGGTAGATTCTCGCGTTGTTGGTGTAGGTGCTGTTGTTGTTGTTTGAGTTCCTCAATCAGTTGCTGCTCCTGTTGGTTGACCAGAGAGTATCGCTTCTTGGTTTCGTCTTCGTAGCCATAATTATTGACAGGGACACCTACTTGGTGCGGATCGGGAACGTCCGAAGCGTAGTTTTGGACCTGGGGAGGTGCGACGTTTTGGGGAGTACTCGGTACTATCGTGATCGTCGAGTTTAGGTTGTCTTTTTTGATACCGTTGGCTTTGGTGGATTTGTGATTTGAAACAGTACGTTTTCGGACGACGCAGAAGTAACAGTAGACCACCAATAATGCGAGGAGTAGAACAATTCCGATGACGACCGGAAGGATAAGTTCTATGCCCACGGACATCGATCTCGCTACGGTAGGTCGTACCGGATCGATCCCGACGTTGTTTCCATTGTTCGGCCAGAACGACTCGTTGGGTATGTAAGTCGGGGCGATGGTCGGCGGTGGGGGAGGAGACGGGACAAATACGCGCACATAGTTGGATATGGGACCCGAAAAGTTCGCTCCGGTTTTGCCGTAGGCCTTCACCGCGAAGTACAGGGGCTTATCCAGTAGTTGCTTGTTCTGAGCCAGGTCTATCGTGAACGTGGTCTCAGATCCAGGATCCAATGGATAAGGCGATGATCCTGTTTCCCAGACGACGGCGGACGTTTCGAATTTGTCCAAAATATCCGTGACCGAATGGGCGTATTTGATTTCGTATCTGGTGACGGTGTGGCCGCCCATATCGGGAGATGTCCACGATAGTCTAGCTTTCATGTCGGCCGGAATGACCTCGACCTTTAAATCTCCGATACGACCGACAGTTACCAAACTCGCCGCTTCAATGTCTTCAGCGGTGATCATGATGGTGGATTTGGTCAAGATCCTTTGGAACGGCGAAATCAGTTGAACGCCGTTGCTACTGATCGAACTACCACAGCAGGGTTTATCTTCTGAAACAAACGATTCTGATAACAACAGTTTGTTGTGTGCTTATGAAACTTTGTGAAGTGCTACAAAGATTTGATTGTTTCGGCCCTTAGGAAATCGAATCTTTGCAGAATGAAAGTCACTTGAAATTGACCAATAATCGAGCAAAACTAAACGGTCGACTTACCATAGTTAATCGACGAACTCCACGTATAGGCTGTGTTATCGTTGTTGGTGACAACCGCTTCGAAGGTATATAAACCAGGCTCGTTCGCACTGAAATATCTCGTGTAAACGCCGTCGCCTTTCGTGATATCCGGATCACCCGCCCCGGTATCCAACAACTCGATTTTAGTGTCCTGTAGAGCGGTTCCGTTGAGCGGCTTCTTGGTCACTAACACTTCAACCTTCGCTCCCAATATCGGCATGTCGCCATACTTGGCTTCTACTAATAACACCAAAGGACCTCCGGCGCTTCGATGGGTTCTAAAACTGGCGCGGACAACTGAGGCGAGCACCGAAACTGGTGTTGCCCTCATCTGGAGGAAATGAGGCTGAGGATTGCCGGGATAGGGTTCCACGGTGTAAGTCCAGATGCCGCTCTCCGACCAATTCGCGTTTAACGTGATCATCTTGAAGTCGAGCAGTTTGTCGGTTCTACTGGAGTAGACCTGATGACTCGGACTGATAAGTTTCAGGCCTTTGATGAGCGGAGTGACCGTGTTGTGTGTGTAGAACGTAAACTGAGCCGGCTCGGACATGCTGGGGTCCATAACGAAGCTACCCGTCACTGAAGTTCGGCCGTCGTCTATGATTTCGCGCCGATGAATCTGGAAAATTTAGAAGTTTCCTCATTGTTGTTAATTTTTGATAGTCTGTTTTTTTTTGTTAGGATAAAGTAACTGCTGTTGTTACAATACAGAATCTGGACTTACCTCTACGGGAAGATCGGCTTGGCTACCGGAGTAGAACCTCTGCACGATATCGTAAAGGACGCTGTGGAACTCGAAATAGGTGGTAAGCAGAGTGGTGTCGACGTTCAACTTCTTTTCGAAAATCGTGTAATCCACACCACCCGTCTCGTCCGCCAGGTACCTCAAAGTGCTGGGTCGAACGATGTTTGGATAATTGATGGAAGCGACTTTAACTCCGTTCGCCTTCAGTCGCTTCGCGGTCTCTTTGAGGTTGTCGTCAAGGTTCATACCCGGAGCTATAGCGACGATCACGTTGTTGGCGGGCCCGTTGGTTTTCGTTCGTTCATTCAACATTTCCAAGGCTTGTTTCAAAGAACAATCCAGGCACCCTGGCTCCATAGATTCGCTGGGTGTGTACGGTAACGCTGAATAGAAACTTTCCCTATTCGTGGTAGTGGTGAACGATTTTCCATTACTGCCGCTAATGGGGAGGATATTCAGAGCCCTATTGGGCGTTGTCGAGTTGAATAAAACCAGGCCGACTTCCGTGTTGCCAGGAAGCACGTAGATCGCCCATTGCCTTATTGCTAAACGTAGATAGAACCACGACTCCCTCTGCAGCATGTCTTTGGTGTCTTCGATGACGAACAGGAACCTAGTGAGGTTTTGCTTCTTGTACGTGATTTTGGGAGTCGTATCGGTTATTTGATTGCCGCTAAAGTTGTTCTGCTGATTGTTCTGGGCAAAGTCCTGGTGATTGATGATGACGTCTAACACACTACGTCGTTGACAGAGCAGGTTGTGTTTCGTGGGCGCGAACCTGTCATGGTTACCCTCGTCGCAGAACATGGAGACGGACGGCGCTTCGGCGGCAAACATAATTGAAGACCTCGCCTTAGGGTCGACGATTTCCGTCAAATTATACGCGGAATCAGACGAGCACAAGCCATCGTCGATCAAAGGGAGATCGGAACAACCAGTAGCTTTAGGTTTTTTCACCTTGTCGTCGTAGTAACACATCGGGTAGATGGGATCGTTGTGATACCCCTGCTCTTCGAACACGCCGTATCTATACATCGCGAACTCTTTGATCAGTAGTCTAGAGAGCGTGTTATCAGTCTCCTGCAGGCTCGAGTAGCTGAGATAAATTTGGTCGCCAGGTTGACCGCAGCCCAATGACTGTTGCGTGTAGATTTTGCCTATCAGGGGGTTCGAGGGCAAGACGGTGATGTCGGAGGTTTCCCCGGAGGCGCCGTGTACTGCTGACGGTGCGCATGAGTCTGGCCAAGCTGCCGGAAGTAAGACAGTTGCCGATCGCAAGTAGGCCCTGCTGTCGAGTGCGGAAAACAGATACTGCGACGCACTTGTCAGGGTTCCCTGTAACAAACATGGGACAGGTTTTAACGCGTGCTCGTGTGCGGTTTTTAGGGCGTTTGATATCTCGTCAATATTAATTAAATTAGATCCTGACTGAACCACTAAAAATTAAAACCCTTCGTTTTCAACTCGCCCGTTTGTATATAGTGTGCCATAGGTGTCCGAAATTATTGATTATTTTATTTGAATAAATTAAATGGACACTAAAAGTCATCACATACCAGTAAAAACATTAGAATTACAGTTCCAAATGAAATATATTGAATCAGAAAATGATTTAGATTTGAGCAAATGCGCCAAGTTTTTGGGTAATTTTAAAACTTATTCCAGGAATAAGGCTAATTTTCATGGAAAAAATGGCAGCCCCTTTACATTATATAAAAAATACCCGACATAAAAATTGTGACAAGAAGCATGATCAATTTCTTCGGTAACTTTTCACTAGTGAAGAAGTGAAGCACTCATTTTTATTTATATATAGGTGGCGTCCCCTACTACCATGGGTCAAATTTGAGTTTCTTACGTTAAAAAAACGTCCAATCTTCCAATGTACGTCCAAATATGGACGATTTTCTCAAAAATTATTTAGAAAACATCATCTGTATAAAATCCGAGGGCCGATTTTTAAGCTCATTACCGCATAAACCGTTCCGAACTCCTTTTCTCGCTTCATTGCCGTCCCGGTTCTTCTCGCGGTTGCATTGTACGTATCGCGTCAGAAATTAAAAGCTAGTTTTTACGCGTTAAACGACCGTTTAAACGTGAACCGAACCTGTTGACACAGTTTACTTGTCAAAAGAAAGTCGTCGCAGTAAATGGTAAACATTACGGTTCGAGCACGTGCTCGGTTAAACGCAAGCGTCAATTTCATTAACCCAAAAAAAAAACCGCATCCGCCACCTAATCGACTCTGGACAGAAATTTTCTCAAAAGCGAGTTTCGACTCCCACCAGAGCCCTGAGGCGGTCCTTGCCGCGCAGATTTTATTCCCCCAGAGTTGATTTTGCTACCCGATAAATTAACGCCTATACAGGGTGACCCAGGGTTAAACCGTCAAACGTCTAACATATGTCCTAACCTGATTTGTTGTCGAGATACAGCGTGTCAAATGTTTTCTCAAAAAATCATTTTCTTAGTAATGACACTTTTCGCCCTCTAGATCGGTGTAAAATTAGATATTTTATTTTAAGTACAAAAATATTTTTTGCTTAGATTTTTAGTTATTGTTTTAAGTGGTCTACGAACATATTGTATGAAACCGTTTTCATTTATTTTTTTCAAAAACAAAACGCACTTCGGAAAAACGCAACTGGGATTAATACTTTTAATCTAATTACATTAAAAAAAGTGCTTTACTACTTCAAATTAATATACCACGGTTAATTAAAATATGACAAAAGGTTTTTTAACAAATAATAAAAAAATATTTTTCTATAAAAATTTTGATACCTTGTATTTTGAAAACAAATCAAATTAGAACATATATTTTTGGGAAAAAAGTGTCACTATTACCTGAAAAACCGATCTTAACGGTTTAAGTCTGGGTCAGCCTGTGTATAGGTCGTGCCAAAACTATAGTAATAAGGATAGTAAAGAAATATTGGGCAAAATCGTTTTCTTTTCTTGATCGTATATTGCTCATCATAGCTACTGATAATTTGCTAACTTGTAATAACTCCCATGCTGTGCATCTAAGCTGATTTTGTAATGCAAATATTCCCCAATTCTAAATTAACGAAATTCATAAAACAACTCTTTGTATATACTATACTATACAACTATTATTATTAAAACTTTGCTTTGGTTAGTTATGTAAATTAATTTTTGAAATTATTAAAAATTTAATGTAGATAATGTAGGATGTACAAGTAATAATGTAGGCATAAATACGTCTTTCGTTTTTTGATTGATTGTTATGTTATGTACCCTTGATTTTTTTCTCTTCTGCAAACTTGCTAAAATATATTTTTCAATACAAAAATGTTAATTCCATTACTATATGAGTTTCTTCATTTAATAACTGAAAGTATTAGTGTGAATACTTGTGTTTTAATTAAGGGAGGGAGGTAGGGGGAAGGGGAGGGAGACGGAGAGAGAGAGAGATGTAAGAGTTAATGAATTTCATTAATTGATATATTCAATCATTAACTTAGCTCTGAAAAAAAAACACTGAAGCTTTTATTCTGTCAGAGTAAATTTTAGGTTTTGTAGATCTATAAGTTGATTAAAACCACAGAAATTTGTCCCATAAAAAAATTTCCTGGATTGTTACTGCGGATAAACAATCTTCATCAGCGTGACGCAATACGCTCGTAATTGTACAGAAAAAACGATTGTTTGTTTGTTGTTAAAAAGATACGTGGGACGTGGAACGCATAAGAGATGTGCCAATAAGCTGGAATGCATCGTTTTCAAGGCCGCAATAATTTGCTGCGTCGAAATTACCTTAAATATTATTCAACGCTTATCATTTATACGTCATTATGTTAGTCATAGTCTTGTGCAGGATCTAACGAGCGTTCTTGAACCATTGCTTAATTGCTGCGCCGATACCGCAGAAGAATTCGAAGGGGATAACGTAACAATTTATCGTTTTAATTTCCACGTAATTGAAGATAAAAAAAAGTTCATTGGAATTAAAGAAGGATTTGAGCGGTATTTTGAGATTTGAGCATTAAAGGAAATGGGTTTGCGTAAAGACTCTTGACAAGGAGAAGTTAAATTTTGAAATAAGGCCGGATTAATGGGCGCAATTTTTAAAAAGTCCGGGGGATGAAATCCTTAGTGAAAAATATTCCAGAAAGGAGGGAGAAAAGCAATTTGTTTTGGTTAGTTTAGCTAGGCTAAAGCATGGTTTATAATAATTGCTTATGCTATGATTACTGACAAATTCTCAGTGAACTCTTAACGCCAAGCAAAACCATTACCGCATTTAGAAATCCAACTAAACAAAAACGCAGCAAAGGAAAACCAAAAAAAAAGAAGCAAAGTAAATGCCAAGAATTTGACAAACATCAAAATCATTAGAATACGAAAGCAAATCAAAATTTTCAGGGAATTGATTTCAGCTATTCAAAAATTTTCGATATTTTATCCCGAAATAATAAATAATAAGGATTATTATTAAAGGAATATGCACGATGTTTTTTGTATGATGATCTTACCCGTTGAGCAAAAAAATCGGGAAAAGATGGTGAATTTCATATTTTTCCAAATGTTAACAAGAATTGGTTGTTAATGGAAATATTCTGACTTTCCCGTACTGAGCTCATAATATTAAGATTTAACTTTAGGCTCGTTATTGAGTTGGAATGTGTGCTCAGTGCCTATTTGCACCTTGTCCTGTGCGGAAAAGTAAACCACCTACGCAATTACAGCATTTTCTATTTTATCTGCGGTGCTTCTCTATCCTTTATGGTCAAAGTGTTGCATTCAGACCTGTCGATTCATTATGCCTCTCCCATAGAAGAGACGTGTACTCTCGAGGAAGTACAGTACCTCTTTTTAGAGTTTAGATCGTTCCTCAGGCTAGTACTCTTAATCGACTTAAGTTAGGAAATGAATTGGAGTTTTCTCCTCTTCAAAACACAGGTATCTTCTTCGATAGCAGTGTCCTGATATGATTCGTAGTCGCATACAATTGAGACTGAGAGCCCAATTGGAACCCCCGACTGCCTCAGTCCCGCTAAAGTCTCTCCAATGTAGAGAGAACTGCCTCCTGAGCCATTTTACAAACAAATTATAGTAACTAAACCTTTTAACTGCTCCGACTCTTCAGTAAGTAGCCATATTTTAAGGTAATTCCTGGAGAAATGGACCCACTTTTCATCCCCGATCTACACTGATCTTCGGAAATGTCAAATCCATTGTTACTGTAATTGCTTTAATGCCTATAGTAAATGTAACACAGCGCCTTGATTTTTATGCAAATTTTAATATTCTGATTATAATTATATTTTTCTTTCACTTTCGAGAAAATTGAGAAAAAAAAAACAGGGTAAAGCATAGAAAAGAATAAAGTCTGATAACAAAGTAAAGGTTTTTTTTTAGCTGGTTGTCTGGTTAGGGTAATTTACTTCTTTTATTCATTTCTAATTCGGGCATTTTTTTCTATAATTTTTCGTTTTCTCACAAATGAATACCGCGTTGTTACTTTGCTTGGCAATTATAATGACTTTGCCCGTGATCAGCTTTTTTCGGTCCTGGTTTTGCTTTGTCTAGTTTAAAAATAGGATTTTCATGTTAAATAACTCCCGTATAAGTTGATTCAACTAACGCTCAGCACGGAGTCGACTTTTTTGCCAAATTACCAACCAAGAACGATTCCAGCGGATTAAAAAATTTTCCACGGTCCGCGGCACAAGAATCTCCACGATTTCTCCGAAAAAAAAAAATGAAAAAATATGGCGCACACATTATGTACGCGCGACGAGTGCGAAACGAATCCCGGCCCGGCTTTTTCCGAGTGCTTGGTTGTAATTCGGTGTGAAATAAAATAATGCCCGAAAGTCAACGAGTCATCGTCGTTTATTAAATTAAAACCGTGCTCTTTTTTTATCTCTCGACCCGCGGGCGCTCCTCTTCTATTTTGTTTTGCCCCGCGAGTCGATTAATTTCGTTTCGTCGACGGGCCCGTAAGTTTTAAAAGAAAGCAAATTCGATAATTCGACGCGATTATCGCGTAGAGTTTTTCTACGCGTCCGAGCTTTCCGAACGCATTAAGATGATTACAAGGTTACCACGGCGCATCGGTAATCACTCGTTATTATGGTCCATGTGCGTGTGTGTGGTCATTTCGGAAAGCGCTGATTGAACTGAGCGATGACATCATCAAAAGAAATGAGTCGGACGTATTCGGTGTCCGCGATGGGTGGTACGTTTGCGTTCTGATGGGCCGAAGCAATAGCAAAAACGATAACATAAAATGATCAAACAAGAGAAAAAAATTGTTTATTAAAAAGGACTTCGAAAATTCTATAAAAATAAAAGTATCATTAACT